TCAGCTTCGTCATCGCCGGCCGCCAGGTCGGGCGCCGCTGCCCCGGCCGCCGCTTCCAGACCCTCTTCCCGCAGCCCCCCGGGGCACCCCCCGGGCCCCGCTACGCCCACAAACTGCCCATGATCGGCCGCGCCGTGCGGGCTCCCAGGAGGTGGCCCCGGGCTGAGTATTCCCTGCTCCTGCTCCTCTGAGAGAGGGGGGACACAGCCCCGGGAATGGGAGGGGGGGGACACCCCTGGGATTGGCTGGGATCCCACTGGGATTGGGGGGGGAGAGGGGAGGGACAGTGCTGGGATCGGCCCCCGGGCTGAGTGTTCCCTACTGATGCTCTTCTGAGGGGGGAACAGCGCTGGGAGTGGTGGGGACACCGCTGGGATCGGCTGGGATCCTGCTGGGATCGGCTGGGATCCCACTGGGATCAACTGGGACACCACTGGGATCAGCTGCGACCCCACTGGGATCGGTTTGGACCCCACTGGGATCAGCTGGGACCCCAGCTGGGATCGGCTGGGACATCACTGGGATCAACTGGGACACCGCTAGGATTGGCTGGGATCCCACTGGGATCGGCTGGGACATCACTGGGGTCAGCTGGGACATCACTGGGGTCAGCTGGGATCCCACTGGGGTCGCCTGGGGCACCGCTGAGACCCCACGGGGATCAGCTGGGACGTTGTTCCTACAAGGAAGGGGGCTCTGGGGGTGACACCCAGGGGGATTTGGGGCCGTGGGGGTGCGGGGGGTGAGGGGGTCAGTAAATGGCGCTGTGTGGTCAATAATCGGTGTCCGGTGCTCAATAACCGGGTCCGGGGTGGTGTGTGGGGGGGGTGGGTGGTCTCCGTGTTTATTTGGGGGTCCCACGAGCTGCCCTCCCCACCCGGGCCCCCCCCCCCCCCCCTTAGAACTTGCGGTAGGCGCCCACGGTGAGGTCGAAGAGCCAGGGGTCCCCGACGAGCCCCCTCTTGTCGAGCAGGAAGAAGAAGGGGCGGCCCCGCACCCGCACGGGCACGGCGGCCGCGGCCTCGGCGCGGTGGGCGCGGGCGGACACGTCGCGCAGGGGAACCGTGAGGGTCTCGCCGCTCCCCAAACCCAGCGGGCCGTGGGTCTGCAGAGTCACCCGGGAGCCCCCCCGGAGCAGCGTCACCCTCCGCACCACCCGCAGCGGGCACAGCCAGCCCGCGGCCACCGTCAGGGACCCTGCGGGGACACGGGGGGGGGGGGGACGGGACACACCGGGGGGTCAGGGGGGCACCGCGGGGTCAACGGGGGACCCTCAGCCCGATCCCCCCCCCCTCCGGACCCCCCCTGACCCCGCTCCTGCCGCCCCCAGCCCAGTCCCCACCCTGAGCCCGGTTTGTCCCCCCCGAGCCCACCCTGACCCCGGTTCCTCACCC